GTGCCACGTTTTAAAAGGGGCCATTATGGGTTGAGTTGTGTCCTCCAGAGAGTTGATGTCCTAACCCCCCATACCTCAGCATGTGACCTTAGTTCCATTTCCTTCTCAGGGTAGGGTCATTGTAGATGTAATTAGTTAAGATGAGGTCATACTGGAGTAGGGTGGGCCCTTAATCCAATATGACTGGTGTCCTTATTGGAAGAGGAGAGACACGCACAGCGGAGAGAACTCCGTGTGAAAATGCGGATACACACGGAGAAGATGGCCATGTGATGATAGAGGCACACATCAGAATGTTGCATCAAGAAATGCCCAGGATTGCTGTTCCCCACCAGAAGCTAGGAGAGAAGCAAGGAGCAGACTCTCCATCAGAGCCTTTCAGAGGGAATCCACCTTTGTGGCACCTTGAATTCAGACTTCAAGTCTCCAGAATTGGGAGACAATACATTTCTGCTGTTTCAAGCCACACAGTTTGTGGTAGTAAGGCAGCCATAGGAAGCCAATTCGGGGGCCTTGACAAATTCTGGTGCACCCAGATGAGGGTGACTAGGATGGTGAAGGGACCTGCCACAATGCCATTGGAGGAACAATGGAAAGAACAGGTGACAGTTAACCTAGAGACTTATCGATACTCTGATATCCATCTTCACATATTTGAAGGCCACTCAGATGGCAGAGGGTTGAGATCTAGTCCATTTAACTCCAGAGGGAAGATTTCAGTTCAGCACCTTCTAAAAATGTTAACAATTCAATTGTGGGCTAGAAAGACCCTCACCACTAGAATTAAGGAGATGTGATTTCTATACAAGAGAGTCTCTCTCGGTTGCTAAGAGTCTCTGGGTGATGACTGAGTTTAGGTAGCTCACTGCTCATCTGTGAGGGTACACTGTTAAATGGTACCTTCTTATGAATCTAAGCTTCATCTGACTAGCTGTCCATGGGCTACATTGTCAAAGTTTTTCTAAGCCAGTTACTAACTGCTTGGGCTGTTTCCTCTTCCTCCTTTCTCTATTTGTGGTACCTAACTTATTGCTGAATATAGAATAAATAGTATTGTGGACACACACACCCTCCAACCAACATTTCTCGATGGCCAACTCTGTGCCAGCCATCTGGACTACCTGCGAAGGCAGGAATGAATGAACTTGCTGCTTTATCCATTTTGCCATTCCTTTCTTGGTGGAAACTCAATCCATCCTGCCAAACCACATGGTCATTTCTTGTGGAATCACTGACTCTTGACAAGTCATGTTTCGTTTTCATTTTTCCACGTGTTCTCATCCATCAGTATTTAGTAGATCTTCACCGAGCCAAGGCTATTCATAAATCATTGAGCTAGGCACTGTGGGGGGACATGAAGATGAACAAGCCATGATTTACGCCTGTGGCGAGTTTACCAGGTCAGCCCCCCTCCCCCCGCCCTTATAATGGTTTTCTAGGAGATACAGAAAAGCAGAAGCATCTAAGGGTGTTAGCTTACCTTAGCATCCCAGAATTGTTTCTTAAGCCTGCTAGCTGTCATCATTCTTTGAGACTCATGCTCACGAATAAGGTTTGCCTTTTTCACTACATGATATGAAGGATTAGCGAAGGTATTCTTCCTTTTCTTCCAAGTCCTTCACTCTTTCTAATTTTTGAAACTGGATAATCTTCTTGGCTTGAACAGACTATCTTCTGGGCTTGAAAATATACATTATCTCTTACCTTCAATGCAGTGCAGAGACCAAGGTGATTTCAGATTGTTCAGCATGTTGTTCAACATAACTATGCTTTGTCTAGGGGTAGGTGAAGATGGGTAAGAGTTATAGCCCAAAAGGACTAAGACCAGTTTCTTTATGCTCAACTGAATGCATATCTTCCCTCTTGTCCTGCCTGCAACTTTATTTAAAGGTTTGCTGCCGTTGTTGTTCCTCATTGCCAAATGGATAAGTGTCAGAATCAGCTGGGAAGGAGAAGAGATGCAGAGGGCTGGCCTTAGATCCCTGTTCTATCCATCACCTGCAAACTGAAGCCTTAACCAAGTGACTTGCTGCCAGACTGGCAAGGGAGAGGCCCTGTGCCTCTGAGGAGCTCAGGGTTCTGGTTTGGCTGGCAGCCCCAGGGCTGGGGAAGTGGCAGGGCTGCCCAGTTGTCAGTGGGTCTGCGCCCAGAGCTCACGCCCTCTCTTTTTGGCTAAGAGGTGTTCTTTATTTAATGAGTGACATAGTTTAGCATTGATGGGTACAAATAAAGGACAGGAAACTTGAGCTAAGGAGGCTTGAGCCTGGGTAAGCATCGAGGATTTCTATCACCTCTGTTGCAGAAGCTCCAAATATCATGACGATTTCAACTCACCCATCACCATGTCTGGCTTTCCTTTTTCAACTCCCAACTGCTACTACCTCCAGATCACAGGGTGAAGGGGTGTCCAGAATTAAAGTGTTACGGCCAACCAACATTGTCATTGTGCCAAAGGAGCGTCAGCCCTCAGCCTTGGTAGACCCTCCCCCACGCAAAGCTCTGAAAGCCATGGCTAACAGCCTGGTCCATCAACACCTTCAGACAGAGCGCCTTGGGTAAGCTGGCTTCAACACTCGCTGTCATCTGTTCAGGACCACGCTTCCAGCTTCATCAATTTGTTTGCTTCTCAATATTGCTCTACTACATTCTTCTGGCTCTCAAGAGCAAAAAGGAAAGAGAGATTTTGGCAAAGTAGTTGAGAGAATCCAGTTCTGTATTCTCAGTCACCCTCTTCCTATTTCTGATTTTTAAGTACTTATTTCCAGGGATCCATAAAGGGTCTAGTGGAGAGATCTAGGACCCCACAACCATAACTGCATTTCCACATCCACCAGTCTGAAGCTGTCCTCCATTAACCAAAGGTACCCTCAAATTAGCAAATGTCATCAAAGACTTAAAGTAGGACATGATAATTACTATAGTTGGGAGCTTTTGGACAAAGTGTTTGCCTTTTCTTTCCACTCAACCCATCCATATGTCTTCCTTTTCTGGAGAGCACAGACTTAACAGGTGACCCACCTGTATCCTTAACTTTGAGAGAGCGGCTGAAGTTTTCCCTCTTTGTTTATTTTTTGGAGTTGGCCAGCTGACCTGCCTCAAAAAGGGACAGGCTGGATGCTGACCTACCCAATAACACAGCACAGTCATGACTGACTTGGCTTATCTGGAGAAAGAAAATACATATTTAGTATAAAGAGAAGATATAAGCAATGGAACAGTTGGTTATACATTAGAGCTCATAATAAATGAAAATATCGAGTGCATTTTAAATGATTAATGTATGAAAACTCTCATCATTTACTGTGCATTAATCAAGAAAAAATGCACACTTCCCATAGTGGTTAATGTCGCAGGCCCGTTGTTCAGCTCTGATAACGTACATAATAATGCTCATGTGACAATGAGTTGGGGTAGCTGAAAATCTAGGATGGTTGCACATTTGATGTAGTATTTGGATTAGCATCTTAATCTGTGCCTTGTCAGTCAGCCTCATCGGTATACAAGCTACGCATTTTGTCCAAAACTAGCAAAAATATGGATGCTTTAAAAATTTTTTTCTTTTTTGTTTAAATCAAGAATAATGACCAAGGTACCTGCTTAAACAAATACTACCAGCATTCATTAGTTAGGATGGTTACATGTAAAAGAAATGATGCCAGATAGTAACAAATCCAAGAGAAGTTTATTATGAAAATGGCACCTGCAGATGAAAAATTAAGTTACATAAAGACAACCATGTATGTGACATGTATGAGAATCTACAAAAGTATAAAAAGAACCCTGTTGTAAATGAAGTATGTACATTTCTGATTTGCAGCATTATAAATGGTCAATGAAAAAAAATGTTTCAAAATGAGCCAGGCACTCAGGAAGTTAGGTCCCGTTAGCTTCACACAAAACAAATGTACCATAGCTGTCGCTTTGTAATGTTTTAATTTTTTTATATATATATTGTAGAGTTGGTAACACTGCTAAGATTTTTACGAACAGAATATCCCTTTCCCCATTATTCAGCTACTTGGCACCAGTCTCCTCATAAAAGTTTTCATATATTTGTACAAGAAATAGTTAAAAACACAGACACAGTCTTCACAGGTAATGAAGTATTTTTTTTTCCACTTTGTAATTTTAACACTATGGATTTAGACAGCAGCTGTGATTATCTGTTAGTTTAAATCACCAGAAATCATTTTGACACAACACAGAAACATTTATAAAAGAAAATAAAAAACAGCCATCTAGCTGTTCTTTGTAGCTGATAGGTGCGTTCCTTTGATTGTTCAATAGCTAGAGTAGAGCTTCCAAAATTACTCTTTAAATTTCGTGATTGGCCTTCTTCACTTCCTAAACCTACTCAAATCCTTCAGGTAAGTGCTCACTATTAGAATTTGTGGCATTAAACTTCTTTTCACTATTCCACAGTGGTTTGGGCCCAACTCATGGAATCAAAGGGCCTGGAGGAATCCACTCAACACAGTGATATTCAAAGGACAGCCGAGTTACTATATTAGCATTGCACACATAAACAAATATATACGACAATTCTATAGTCCACCCCCACCCCCCACCGCTCCCCTTTTGTTTTTAAAAAATGTTGGTTGACCTTTGAAATAATTTTCTGTCTCACTGGTAAATTGCTTTATATATTGCTCCATCAGCCAACCTGGAAGGAAACCAAAGCAAAGCACCCACTGCTTATAGGTAGAACACAAGGGACTCTGGGAATGTTAACAACTGAGGCTATATGGCATCAACTTATTTCATATATCTGAGCATTATTCTTCAGTGCTTTGTGTGGCACTCCAGAAGAAAGAGTCATACCCAGAATTCCATTATGGGAAAAATGGCTCCATTAACCTTGAGCTAGTTAAGAGTCTTTTTATCTCTGAGAATGAAAAAGATTTTGGAGAAGTTGGGGTTGGGGGGGAGATGAGGCAGGAAAAGGGGAGATGAGAGAGAGAGAGAGAGAGAGGGAGGGAGGGAGGGAGGGAGCAGGGAGGGAGAGAGGGAGAGAGGGTGAGAGGGAGAGAGAAAGGGGAGAGGTTGGGAGAATATACACCAGCAAAGCAACAGCAGAAATCTTAAAAAGTGAAATGGAAGATTCACAGACAGTAGAAGCAGCGTAGGGTGACGTTACAGAGGAAGGCCACCACACAAAAATCACTAACCCCCAAGAATCACTGATTCACTAGGACTGCAGGAATGGGACTGTACTAGAGATAGAGCACAGAGAAGACAAAGGACAAAACAACTACATTAGCTTAGTATATACTGCATATAGAAACACACATTGAAACTGCAATGGACTGACAGCCAAGGACACATACACAGTGCACACATTACAGTTCTCACATCTGTTATTAGATGCCTTAACAGCTGCCAAAAATGGAGTGGAAGAAGAATTTATACTCGACAGTCGTTTGGAGTGTTTGACACTACACTGATTTCTGGCAACAAAGACAAAATAGGATATTTTTTTCTTTTTCTTTTTTTTTCTTTTTTTTTTCAACTTAATGCGCAGTTGCAGTTATCTGTTTGAAGCTTATTTTAACCCATTCTTTAGTTTTAAACCTTACTGGTTCCAACCTAGAAATAAAAGAACCAAAGGGGAAAAAAAATCCACCAAATCAGTCCCCCAAAATACAACCTTCCTTTTCTTTTTTTTTAGCAAGAAATGAAAAAAATCAAAAAACGTTAAATATTTTTTTCCTTCTTTTACTCCAAAGTGTTATTGAAGTTGCAAAAATTAGCCTCAGTTAGACTGAGAAAAGGAAAGAAAGAAAGCTCAACGAAAGGCAGTATGTACCTAAACTGCTCCTCAAATCAGTTTGATTGAGTTTTCCAAAAGCCCTTTTAAAAAGGGCTTTCCTGACCCATTAAATTTAATGTGAGGCTATGTTAGTTGGGAGGTAAAAAATTTTAAGTCCTGCAGCAAACATTAATGAGGGCTTTGTCTTAACTAACCAAGGAGACTGCAGCAATGGACTCCAGACCAGGACAGAACACATTTTTTTCAAAACCCAGCCCAGGAGCTGCATTTTGTATGAAGACATTACAGATTAATAAATGATAGCACCATGGTTTTAGAAATTAAGTTAATGTTTCAGTAATTAACATTTAGTCCAACTTTTTTTTAAACATTCTAGTCACAGGCCAGAAATTAAGTTTAAGAACCCAAAATTATTTTTATGTGCAAGTAAGAAAATCTTAACCATAAAAAGAGAATTAAATTCTGCATAAAATTCTAAAATACTATCCCCCTATTTTCAAAGGAATTAGGAACAGAAACAAAAACACCACCCCATTTCATTTGACTTAGTCAAACAGGGCACATTGTTTATGCTTGTCTCTTTCAATCTTGATCATATCAAGATCTTTACGAAGAAAACTCAATGGTTGTCATTTCAGAAATCCCTTGACCACAAGACTGAGTATTCTATGGCAGAGGCATATACACATTAAAGACATCTTAATAAAGATGCAAAGGAAAGCAAAACAACCCAACACACATCTCGGAAGAAGACAAAATGGCAGGCAACTGGTCGTCTGACCCTCTGAAGGCCAAAAATAAACATATCTTTACAGGAAAGAATGAGTCCAGTGAAAGAAAGAGGGGATGGAACGGGGACCGTCGTGGCGAGAGAAGATGCTGACCTGCTCGAATTCAAAGTGCTAGAATCAAAGGTCTAAACGAAAACTCCGACGATGCCTCCGGGCAGAGCCCCGGGCCGCGCTGGGCGGTGCTCAGTCCTCCTTGCGCTCCAGAGTCTGTGCCGCGTGGATGCCGTTGCTGTAGACGGGGAAGGGCAGCGTGGAGAAGAGTCCCTCGGCCGTGGTGAACACGTTGCCGGTGGGCATCTGCGTCAGGCTGGCCGCACTCACGGCGCCGCCAAACGGTCCCGACATGTTGAGCCGGTGCACGTGGTGGTAGAGCATCTCCATGGGCGTCTTGGGGTCAAGGCCGAAGCCCGGGCTGTTAACGTCCACGAAGTTAACAGCGTGCGCGTTGGGCAGCAGGTTGCCCTGCATGGCCAGGGTCACCTCGGCTGGCGCGTAGCGGATGGTGCCCGTGGTGTAGACCCTCTGCGCGGCCGTGCTGGTGGCTGCCAGCGTCCCGGTCACCCTGTGCACCAGCGGCAGCACGACGTTGCCCGCCTGCAACCTCTGCAGCGCCTCTAGGTCCCCAGTGTACAGCAAGGAGTTGGACGCTCCGGGGCCGCTCCCGCCGCCGCTGCTTCCGCCCCCGGGGTGCTTGTCCCGCGGGGACGCCGAGAGCGGGGGCGACAGCGGGTCGGAGGCGACGGGGGCCAAGGCCGCGGGGGCCGAGGTGCCGAACTGAGTCTTGCGGGCGGCGGCGGCGGCGGCCGTGCCGTCGGCACCGGGCGGAGTGAGGACCGAGTCGGGGATGGCCACGTGCAGCCCCCCGCCGCCTGCGCCGCCCGGCGGGGACGGGAAGTGCTCGGAGCTGGGGGGCTTGGTCATGCTGTAGGGCGACTCGTTCCGGGAGATCTCCCGGTTGGGCGGGTAGTTCCAGATGCTGCTGTCGTTGTCGAAGTTGATGGGTTCCGAGATCTCCGTCTTGATCTTGAGCACCGAGGCACTGTTGGGGGAGGACAGCAGCCGCGGGGGCTCCACCAGGCCCGCGTCCAGGCCGCCGGGGCTCGACGCGCTGGACAGGCGCCGGCGGCTGGCGCTGCCGCCCTTCTGCCGTTTCCGCCTCTTCTTGCGCTTCTGGTGCTTGCTGGAGGCCTGCGCGCCCGCCTCGCCCGCGCTGTCCGAGTCCTTGGCGCTGTCCGACGACAGCGACTCGCAGTTCTGCAGCCGCAGGTCCGACTCGCTCTCCACGTAGCGCTCGACCTTGATCTGCATGGGGCCCAGCGCGCCGAAGCCGCCGCCGTCCTCGGCCGCCTTGGGGTTCTCAAAGTCCGAGTGCTCGAAGCTGTCGTCGCTGTCGCGGCTGTCCGGGTTGCTGGAGCTGTGGCCGTCGTCGTTGCAGTTCATGTCGTTGTCGCACGTGTTGCCTGACTTCTTGCGGTCGGGCTCCGGGTCTTCGCTGTTCTCGGACTGGTTCCCCTTCTCGTCGGACTTGGAGTTCTCGTTGTCCTCTGCGTGGGGCCGGCAGCCGCGGGGGGGGGGGGGGGGGGGGGGGGGGGGGAGACACAGGAGACAACGGATTAGCAGGGCAAGACCCACCTCTCACCTGCGGGGGTGGGGGAGGGGAGGGCGGAGGTGGGGGGGGGGGCGTCGCCTTATCCTGAGCTGCTCCACTGCCTCGGTTACTTAAAGCCTGGGCTTTCTCTCTCTTGAGGACCTAGATTAGAGGGACCCTGACTCAGAAGTGCGGTCCCCGGACCTGCCCGCAGCATTGGCATCACCTGGAGGCTTGCTACAAATGCAGAATCCCAGGCTTCCACCCAGACCTACTGGATCAGATTCTTCATTTGTACAGGATCCCCAGGTGATTCTTAGGCACGTTAACATTCGAGATGTTCTGCGAAAATGCTCACAGACTCAGGAGTAAATAACCGGGAATAAGGTGGTAGTGACACAGAAGAATGATGATTTGCAAGGTGACTTTCCAAGAGGTCTGCACCTTCCCCTGGTAAATGTCTGCTCATTGCTGAAAACCATACTCTCCTTTCCTAAAGTTATTTTTCTCTAGAGCACTGAACGCCGTCTGATTCATTGTATGTTTTATTTTTCTTTACTTCTGTCTCTTCCCCCAGCTGGAATATAAGCTCCACAGGGCAGGGAATTTTTGTCTTTTTTTGTTCACTGCTATATGCTATATAAATAAGGAGCAGAGATTGTCTGTTCTAGAACTCTGCCTTAGTAAAGAACTTTCTTGAATGAATGCAATTTACAGGAAATCAGTCAAGATCCTCCCCACCTGCTTCGGCCTCCCTGATGCTGTGTCTGGAGTAGAGGGAATACGGTACAAGAGCGTGTTCCCTAAGGATGGGGTTTGTGGCCGGTGTGCCCTAGTCATCTGGCACATTTTAGGGAGGATAGATTTTCTCAGTGATAGAACCTCAGAACCTTTAGGGGTGATGCTGATTTTATGGCTCTGCTTTTGGATGGCAGCCTGGACTAGCACCTTGGACAAATCATGTAACTACTCTGGCCTTCATTTATTTAGCAGAAAAGGCTGGGTTAGGAGAGGCTTAGGATGTTTTGCAGCCGTAAATTCTATGAGTTATGTGCCCCTTGCATCTATGCGTGTCTGTGGAAGGGGACTGGGAAGTGGAGGAAAAGTAAATTTTTATATTAGCTTTCCTGTGCTCCAAAGAACTACTCGAAGTTTGCTTCCCAAAATAACTAGGAATGGGAAGGCATGGATTTGTTCAGCATAGATTCAGAAAATGAGTAACAGACGGCACCCAGAAAGAGTCATTTACCGATGCCATTAAGTAGCCCACTTTAGGGGTTCAATCCCAGCTTGGTGAGGATGTGAATATTTGGGGCTCAAAGTCACGGTCTGTCTTGGAGCAACAGAGATAGCCCTGCTGTCTGCTTCTGGTAAAGAGGTTGGAGCTAGCTATGGGGTTAGGGCCGGGCTTCTTCTGTATGGAGGACTGACATTAAGTCATGGCTCAATCAATCAATCTCTCTGTATATTTGTGTATATATATTTATATACCATAATATACCTATGTGTATGAATACATACCACAACATGCATATATGTATATATTTATACATATCTAGATGCATGTATATATTTACATAACACCACATACATAAACATATGTATTGTATGTATGTGCACACACTTATGTAGTGTGTACATCTGTATGTAGTGGTATATAAGTATATATACATATATGTGTTGAGAAAGACTCAGTAATAACTTGATGTGACATATATCCCTATATAAACTTTGACCGGTTGCTTCGTTCAGATGACACTCCTTTGGCCGTTGCCCACCCCTCAAGTTTGGAAAGGCAAGCCATAACTGCAGAACACGGAGAAGTCGTAATACCTGTAATACCTGAGGTGTCTTTAGAGTCTGACTCAGAGTCGGAGGTCTCTGAGGATTCCGAAGTTTTCTCCGGCAGGTGGGGAAGCTGTGCGATGTCCATTGGCGTGTCCTTGTACTCGGGGTTGCTGTGGAGGAGGGAGGTGTTCATCAAGAGTGCAGATACCCATTCTGGATGGGTTGCTTCTGACCATCTTCTTCCCACTTCCTTGCCCCAAACTTTTGGAGTTTAGAGGGTTTGAAAGACTAAGCATGCAATCATTTCTCAGCTCATCATGGGACTTTTACAGAAGCTTGGATTGCATGCGCTGGGCAACAGGTGCACCTTGCCACAGTGACTGAATACCCAAATGCTACGTGAAAGCCACCAAAAAGCTTTCAAATAATCAGGTACCACTGGGGGCCAGGGAACTGGGCTGCTTGACATTCCTCCCGGTACCACACCTGGGGGAAGGGAGGATGAGAGAAGCACCCTCAACAATTCATTCCCCTGCCTCCCGGTGTGCGCTGCCTTCTCCTGGGCTCCTGATGAGTCCGTTGCTTCAGTACCCTTGTCTTGGCTCCTTGACGGAGTGTCCTCAGCTGTTCAGGTGGCTCTAAGGCTATTGGGGGCGGGGAGCTGGGGGACGGAGCCCTCAGCACCTAACGATCTGACAGATGCACAGGTGCACCTTGGGCTGCGTGGATTGTGGCTACTGAACTGTCAACACACCCATTACAATCACATTTTCATCTGCTCGTGTGGTGTACACCTGTGGCTTGTTAGCTGGAAATCTGATTGCAGTGGGGAGAGCCCCAGTGTGAAAGAATGACGCTAACCCCGTTGGCACAAAAGTGCTTAATTTTTGTTCTATTTTTAATTCAGAAACAAGCCTCCTCTGGAAAAGGGAGTGTGTTCGGTCAGTCAGCGATCTTCTAGAAATGCCACTCCAAGGCCAGGCCAGCGTGTGAGCAGTACCAGCTGCATAACCTGAAGGCACTAGGAAAGTCTCTTGCCTCCAAATGGAAAATGCCTCTTCTGTCCTCCTATCATGGCCAGTCAGCCAGAGACCTTCCATAGGTCTCCATGACTCACTAGCTAATTTCTAGTGAAATTCCTGTATCAAAGAGTCACTGTTTCAGTAACTACACTAAAACTGCAAATATCCCAGGGGGGTTCCTTCACTCAGATAACTTATCAGGGCTTTACTCCTTAGTGTGAATTAGCGTCAGCAGCAGAGCTTTCTCTAGATGATCAGATGAACCAGATGCTGGGAAGGTAGCCTTAGCCCTTACACAGTTTCTGTAATTCTACCAGGTGTTGTGAGGGTATAGGAAGAAGACTGGGGGAGCAGTAATTTCAGAACAGGGACGTGCAAGCCTGGATGGAGCCCAGAAGTGAGGGGTTCTGGCCAGGAAGAGGGAGCATGAAAATACTGCTTGGGGAAGAACAAAGGACAGGAATGTGGGAAAGAAAAACCAACTTCAGTAGTTGCTATCAGGCCAAGGCCCTTCTTCCTAGACCTCCAGCCTGGAGAAGTGATCCTGATGAGTGACAGACCTGGGGAGCTTCCTCTGCTAAAGCTCATGTATGTCAGTCTCCTTTGGTCCAGATGCCATGTGGGTTCACAAGTCCCTTGTCGGCCAACTCCCAGTCTTCTATTATTGAACCCAGGGTGAGTCTTCAGGTCAGCTGAAACACGTCTGGCATGTCTGAGATCGAGGCTCTTTGAGCCTGAAGGCTGGGCTTTGGTACCCAAACTGCTTCCTTCTTCTCCGTATGGAATTAGGCGGGCCAGGAACACCAAACGCTCATGAGCTTGTACCATGTGATCCTAGACTAGACCAAGTGTTGCTCCAAAGTAGCACCAGCTGCCCTCTCCTCACCCCTCCTCACTCCCTCTGTTTGGGGGCAGAGTAGGAAGTCATGAGGCTGATGAGGCAGTAAGAAAGATCCAGAAGGGAAGAAGTCTCCCTGAATGAGATGAACAACCATAGGGATTGCTTTAGTGCCCTAGGCTCCAGCAGCCTGGGGGACGGCCATCCTACAGTCTATGGTGTCCCTGTTACTAATGTCTAATTTTTACTAATAACGGGTCTCCTTGGCACAGTGAATGTTAGTGCCACAATATTCTGTGTTCTCTTTGGCATGTGAGTTTTTATAACCTTCTGCATTGCACACAGCCACTGTTCCGTAAACCTCTAAGTAAAAGAATTCCCTGATAGCAGAACCCATCTTCAGCATATCACAAACACAGGGGGTAGTTTGCATGAAGAGCAGGCTTTGGAGAAAGCCCCATTAGATACCCATACTTTTACCTTTAGAGAGAATTAATGTAGAGTAGAAGAGGTCAAAAAAGGGAAAAGAAAGTAGATGAATGAAGACTCTTCTAAGTGGTGCACATTAAAGCCCTCTCTAGAGCAATAATCATTAGTGTCTGATAGATATGCTATTGGGAGCAAGCACGTTCATGCCTTCAAGTCGTCACCAGCGGACGCGAACACACTCTGAAGGGTCAGCGTGTTGCTGAGCCACGGCTGTCTGCATCTCTGTCTCAAAGAAAAATGGGATTCGGTACTCCCTGTCGACGTTATCAGTCAAAGGGCAACAACTTCCATTCATAAGACCCGCTGGAAGTTTTCCTCCTCAGACCACATGTGGGCCCTGCTTGGTGGCTTTAGGCCAAGAGGAGCCAAAGACTAGAGTGACAATGGTGGGAGGGAGCCAGGCTGAGCATTTGGATAGCTTCATGGCAGGATTGGTGGAGAACCTCCCAGAAAGCTTGTCCCCAGACGCAGACCACCCAGGCTATGCGTGTTGGTTACTTTGGTGCTAGCCTGAATCCACAGGCAGCAGATGAAGACGGAGAGACGAGGGGTGTTGCACACTGGAATTCAGGAGGCTGTTGAGCTTGGCTGCATTAATGGATATAAATTGGAGGATGCGTTAAAACAGCGGTCACCCTTGCCTGAGATCACAGGGCAGGCAAAAGAAGACTGCCTTCGTTTTTCCACTGAAATTGTCTCAATTCTGGCAAAGTGACTCCCTTTGCTTACCCAAACTTGAATATCTGGGGAATCCAACCCTACGTGATACGCTGAGGACTTCAAAGACATGGGATACAGGAGGAATATGAACTCTGCCACTTCTTCCGCATCCCCTTTTCATAATTTTCACAAGGGTTGGAGCGCATGAGTATGAGAACGTGTGGGGGAGAAGGAGATGCTTTTTGAATGCTTCCACTGGAGGCAAACGTCTGTGTTCTTTTTCTGGCCCGAACATTTGTGGGGAAACCAAAGCAACCTCTGCAGAACTGCCCCAAGGTTGGCAGACCAAGAACTACTGAACATTTCGCAAATCTGCCCTCGAAGTCCCTACCAACATGGCTTTGAACTTTTCCCATTTCTTTGAATCTTGTGGAAAGAAAAGCAGAATTTCCATATAATTCCACACCAGATACTGTCAAAAGATAATACAACGTTTCAGCTATTTACCATTGGGCTGCATGTTTTATAACTGAGATGGAAACGAAAAAGAATTCCAAAATATACCTCAGAAGATAATTGACCCAGATGATGTTTTTCTCATTTGCGTTCTTGGCGTTAATAGCTATTGTGGCACTAGACTGTATCCAAATATATCCTCCATTCTTCTGCATCCAACGATAGTACTTTGTCACACATTGGCCCTTATTCAGCACTGGTGAAAAAACAGAATAGAAGGCATTGCATATTAGGACTGGGACGAAATGGTCATCATCTCTGCAAAATCTGAAGCTTAGAAAGGGGAGGTCCCGGACTTCCCTGGTGGTGCAGTGGTTAAGAATCCGCTTGCCAGTGCAGGAGACACGGGTTCGAGCCCTGATCCGGGAAGATCCCACATGCCGCGGAGCAACTAAGCAACTAAGCCTGTGCACCACAAATACTAAGCCTGCACTCTAGAACCTGCGAGCCACAACTACTGAAGCCCGCCTGCTCCACAACAAGAGAAGCCACCGCAATGAGAAGCCCACGCGCCGTAACGAAGAGTAGCCCCTGCTCACCGCAACTAGCGAAAGCCCGCGGGCAACAACGAAGACCCAACGCAGCCAAAAATAAATAAATTAATTTTAAAAAAAAGAAGAAAGGGGAGGTCCCGCACCAAGCCAGGGGTGCCCCTCTGTACGCTTAATGTAGAATGCCGTTAGTAGGACAAATAAAATCACCAATTCAGTGGAGCAGTAGCTCTGGAGCTAGGGTTACTAGCGTTTGTAGCAAGACTTTATTCCATTTTGGACAGTCATGGTGTGAAAGGAAGGATAACAGGACTGCAAATCTTTCTGGCTCACAGAACACCTAATGCGGTGTGGATATTGTCAATGGGTTTGACATCAGATGGGAACAAAGGCAAATTTGGGTGTGATTTATTCATAGCTTCAAGGTAGCTCTCTTTGCGATTCTGGATATCTGAATGGTTCCAAAGATGCTTTCCTCCTCTGTCTTTGATCATTTCACCTCAGTGCGAGCAGTATCAACCCGTGTCCTTATGTATCGGTTCCTTTTGATCTTGTCGAACAGAATTTATGGTATGAACTAAATCTACATGTGTCAGTCAGGGGAGATTCTGGTGAGAAATTTGCTGAACGTTGGAACAAAATACATTCCCTCACCAAGTCAGACAGAAACACTGGCCTAAGCGAAGCACAGGTTTGACTTGGCTAGAGCCAAAAAGAGTGACAGCTCCACACAGACTCTGAAATATGGCCCCAAATGAAGGAACAAGTAAAAACAATCAGTAATGTGAAACGGTGCCGTTAAATATCCACGGAAAGAGAGCTTTAAAATGCAGATGTTAAAAATGATACTTTAACCAAAATCTTGCCAAGTTGAAATGGATTTGATTTGTATCTGGGCACGCTTGAGCTAGTAAAAGGGGGAAGAGTGCAGTAAATCAGCCCCTGAAATAAAGTGCTATGGATGGGAAGGGTTTAAAAGGATGCCGGAAACGTGCACACCCGCTGTTATCGCTTGGATATGAATTGCAGACTCCACACCCCCCAACAGCGCGCCAGCTGGCCGGCCACTAGAGGGCAGTGTGCACTCGTCCACGCTGCCCACTTTTGGCACGTCCTTGTCTCCGTCTGCTAAAATGAAAAACCTCTAACTGCTGTAATAAATTTGGCTAAATTAGCTGCTAAATGGTTATCTCAAGTAATATGTATTTGCATTAATCATCTTGCTCTAAACCAGAACAAGCCAGAGTCCTAAAGACGTAGTAAATTCATATTGTCCATTTAATTATGGCTAATAAGTGCTTCATATACAATAGTTTCATGAAGTACTTTTTTTTTTTTTTTTGGGGGGGGGGGTTGGATGAGTAAAGGGAAGTCACTTTGGAAAAGGGCTGTGTTTAAGGCTGTAGAAGCTCTTCCCATCATCATGTCGGAGCCACTCTTCCTAGCTCTGAAAGTGGTCAAAAATCAAACCTCCATATATTTTATCCATAAACATAAAAACTTCAACGCTTTTCTCCCATTCTCTCTTTTTTTTTGTCTCACAATACACGAAATGGATGGTTGTAAAATGTAATACTTATGTCTTAACAGTTGCTTGAAAAAGCCTTGCTTTGATGAGTGCTTCAAAGAGCGGCGAGTTCTATTCAGAAACTATTCTACAGTTCAGGGTATTTTTAAAACCCGGAACTGTCACCTTCTCTTAGTGGTGAGGCTCCACAGGTAGGATTGTACTCTGCTTTTGTAGGCGACTGTAAGTTCTGCCATCCGGCATGCATGGCTTCCCCGGCTCCAAAACTGTGTAGTGAAGCTGAAAGCAGTAAAATACTGACGCTGCCATACAGCACTCCTGTCAAACCATTGTTGCATGCAACAAGATGTGCTTTTATTCAAATCCTCTCAACCTGGTTAACTATTAATAGAGGAACGATGGGTTATGAAATTCTGCCCACTATTTTCACAGAAATACTTAGAGCATCCCAATCAGTGGTTGGTATATAATTCTACCTGCTGTGTATCTGGAATAAGGGATAATTTCAAATGGTTCTAGTATTTTTAATAAAGGCAAAGAGACTAAGAAGCCCCTTTTATAGAGTCACATGAAGAAAACACTGAGATGGTAGGCTAGACCAGCCCAGCCTGGCTGGGGATTTTCGACTGGAATTTGACCCAAAGCAGGCAAAATTAAAAAAAAAAAAGACCTCACAATACAGTGCGTAGCAAGGGGCAAAGTGAGACAGAAATTATAAAGTCAAATTAGAGTTTGCAGAGTCAGCAGAAAGATCACCACGCCCTCTCCTTCCTAATAATACTTTCTCTTACTTACAAACAAAGAAACAGAGAAACAAACAAAATCTCCTTTCTGAAATGCACCTTTTTGGGTTAAGGCAGCGCGACTCTGGGTCTGATTAGGTGCATCTGTGTTTCCTGAGAAGATAAATACAAAGTTATTAGGACCCATGATTCCACGAATATTATTTATCACCCAGGCCAAGGGCCATCTAGCAAAGAGAGGAGACCTCAGTGAGAGAGAGGCAGGCCAGGCAAGTTTACGTGATGAAGTGGTGGTGAAAGAGCTGCGGAGAAAAGGACCCCTGAGGGGTTCCCTGGGGAGTCAGGAGCTACTTGAGTGCCTTCACTTACCGTGGTCCACACCACAGAGCAGATCCAGGGGCCCATCACCGTCAGCTCAAGAAGACAAGTTTAACCTAATCCATTAATTTGCCCTGGGCCAGCCTGACAAACAGAATTCTGAAAAGGTAGACATTCCAGCATGGTCTTGGATCATGACTGTTTCCTGAGGATCAGTGTTTTCTGAATGACACCCCCATGTATCCGTGGGAATCTAGATAACTCAAGATAAGGCGCTGAGTTAGCTCCTATTATAGCATGAAATGTCGACTAAAAGATCACCCCAGTTGCGTCTGTTTTTCAGGAGGACCCATAAAAGCGGTCACAATGGAATTTTGCTTCTTTTAAAATGAACACGGAATAATTTTTGCTTGGGGCTCTAGAATATAAATTTATGATTTGTGGATGAAGCTTCCTGCTTTAAAAAAAAAAAAATCATACTGGCAAATCAGTTGGATCGTTCCAGCTGTGCCAGAGGCAGGATCTGACAGCTTTTCCTGAGCTCATGTGGTCCTAATCAGCTCAGGAAGAAAAGCCACTTTGGTGCCAGTTTGAAAGAGATTTTTAGTTTGTAATAAATTAGACAACTTGAAAAACACAAAAACTTTTTTGATACTCTCTAATGCAGGGCTGCTGTTTTTATTTTGGGGTTTTTAGCTTTAAATAATGGAGAGAAATGAGAGAATGTCTGTGTTAGTCTATTTCACAAAATCCCTTTTGTGGGGAAAACCAGAAATAGCATGATGTAAGTTACTTGGTATGGAAGTCCTTAAAAACCAGTTAATTGTCCCTGAAAAGAGATAGATCCTCATCAAACCAATGAGCCCAGGAGAACATTCAAAACAGTGTGCTCAAACTATAAAGAGAGGAAACCGAGAGAGAGAGGAAATATCTATGAGGATCTTATTTTTAGTCTTACACTGTGATACGGTCTGAGTACTTCTAACACATCACCTGGCACCTTCTCTTTGGCTTATCCCAAAGTTTACTTTTTGCTGTCCAAACCTTTTGGTAGAGCAGCCCTATGTGTGCCCACTGAATTCAATGATCACATCATAACATTTCTAGAAAGATGTCTTTAAAACTGTGTGATAAGAATTAGTTTTTATTTAAGGATCTCAAAACACGGAAATGGCCTTTGTTAGGTTTTAGAGGGTAAACATGAAGACACAGGGAGGCTGACTGTGTTTCTCCCAGATGCCCTTTCAGTGTTGGATGGTCTCAGGTATAACCGTGGATGCCTCTGCTACTGCATGACAACTTGCTCCTTTGAGCCCTGAAGTCCAGGGTGTAGCCAATTGTTTTTGGCTGTAATTGCTCAGCTCTGAGGAAAACCAAGAAATTGTCATCAGTACTGCTCCACCTTCCAAGCTACAGGTGCCTTTGAGTTACAGACTGTGCTCTTCAGAGGACAGAAATGACCCTGCATTTGGGAGAAGAAACCACTAGAGACAAGGAGAGACTTACATCTTGCTGGGGGAACCATTCTAGCCCGGCTCATTTGACCATTTTTGTCTCTAAGTGTCAAAATACCACCAACCCCTAATTGTGAAGGGAGTGGCAAATGCAGTTCAATCCAAAGAAAAATGCTTATGTGTTAGAACACGTGACCTTTTACATCACATACACACTTTGCCCCACAAAGACTGGGTGCTCTGATTGATTGACTATCTTTTTAAAAAGTCACCTGGCCTCTTGGTTTGAGCTTAGTGGCAGGCATACAAGAAATGTACTCCTTGTAGAGAAAAACTAACACCCCCCCCCCCCCCCGCCCAAATCTGATGAGCTCTTGCTGGAGTGCACATCTATGGCTCTGCACGCAGTGACCAACAGAGGGATTTCAGTGTTCCTTAGGAAAACTTCGTCCACAGAGATAGACTGATGACTGAAAGGACATAAAGGAAGCCTGTGTCTGTGGCAGGAACATAACTCTGTTAGTAACTCAAAACAAATCAGTCCAAGTTTGCCTTCAGAAATATGGAGGAAAAAAGAGAACATGGTCTCTTCCTGTTGGGCTGTTCCACAAAATCAAAGCCAAAGATTCTAAATAGTGAGTTACTTGTGTCTTCAAAAGAAG